CATATATTTCGAGCGATATTTATGCATTTTTAGCTATATTTTGGTATGATTTAAGATAAAAGGTACTTATAAAGTTTGAAATTCCATTTTACAGCTAAAAATCATTTCTGAAGAAAAAGGAGAAGAAAATGTGCAAAAATCCGTAAAAAGAAATGAAAGAAATTACACGAAGAAAAACGAGATCAAAAAGTCAAAAAATTCAAAAATAGCCGCGTTGGAAAGACGAGAAAACAAAATAAAAATCTAAAAAAAAGAATTTAAATTAATTAATGAGGTTTAATTAAAATAAATTATTGGGAATTAATTATTTAATTTCTAAATAATTTATATTAATTAAATTAATTTAATTTAATTTAATTTGCAAAAGAAAAAAAAAGAAAAAAAAAAATTAAAAGAAACAAAACTCGGAATGAGCCCAAATTCGGAGCCCAAAACCTGGAGCCCAAACCCGGAGCCCAAGTCTCGATTCGCGACCCTGACCCAGATCCGGAAAAGGCGAGACCCGAAGTCCGAAAGATCCTACCCACGTCCACATACACTCACAGCCATATCCGATTATTCTGATCCGGTACCCGGCTCCGATCCGGGTTAGGATCCGCGCTTTTTATCGCTCATGACGTCATTCGTGACGTCATTCACGCGATCCATGAACAGACTTCGATCCAGGCTCCGACCCGAGTCCGATTCGTTTCCTCTCACATAAAGTCCGCGTGTCGACCCGTTCCGACCCGGTTTCCGACCCAGAATTCGATCCGGTACTGTTCAATAGCTAAACGACGTCGTTTTATGCTCCAGATTTGCCAATTCCGATTCCATTCCATTTTTATCCATTTTTCTCCACTTTTTCCTATTTTAAACCCATTCCTTTCCAACCAATACTCAATAATTCATCACCTTTAAACTTTCCAACCTTTTATTCCCATCTTTTTAATTCTTTTGAATTCTTTTTCATTAGATCCAATCTCAATTTATTTCTTTTTGGTATTTAATTCTCCCAATTTTTACTATAAATACCACCATTTTTCACCAAAAAAAAAGGGAGAAAAGAAAAGGAGAAGACATTGGAATTATGCACTTTGATACACAAATTTCTTCCAACCTTTGAACCACATTTCTACAATTGGGGATTTAAGAGTCAAAGATCTAAGGAATTGAAGATTGCAGTGGCATTAGGGACTACATCGGGTTTGTTTTATCGAAATGTTTAACATTCTCAATATGTTTTCAATGTATGTTGTAACTTTAATTATGGGCTAAATTCCCTTTGCTTTCACTTGGATAATGAAACCTTGAAAATATGATTTGATTTATATTATTCAGATATTAATTGTTATTTATTTTATGATTGCATATTTGATCATTTATTTTTATACGTTGAATTTTTGTAATTAATTTTCCTATAACTAAGTTAATATTTTTAAAGGATCAATTTAAATATATTATCTTGAATCATAAATTTTTCATGACCATTGATATTTATGACTAGTGATGGACAAAATCCTAGGATTAGGCAAAATAAAATACTAAAAATTTAATATGTATATTTTGTATCGTATGACCAACTTACGATTCCTATTAATTTTACTACCACTAAAATTAATAGTTTGATCAAATGTTTGCATGATACGAATTAATTATTGTTAATAAAATTGTTAATTGCATGACAATTGTTTTTAATTATTTTTATTATCAAAACGGTAAAAAATTAGATCATGATTTTTAACCAATTTTAGAAATCGGTAAATAACTAATAATATCCATTGCACTTAATATAAATCATTCATTACTAAAAGGTGGAATTAAATCTAAGTGAAAGCATCCTTATCATTCTTGATTCTTAAAAACCAATTCTTGTTCTATATTTATTTTTACACTTTAATCGTTAAAATTCTCATTATTGTCTTGTTACTAGAAATTCCCCGGCAACGGCGCCAAAAAACTTGATGTGTTAAATTCACTCTAGTCTTAAATTTACTACACAATAATTAATTCGTATAATGCAAACATTTGATCAAACTATTAATGAATGATTTTGTAATGATAAGGATGATCAAATTTTTTTTACTACTTACGCGAATTAAAATTTTTTTTAGTGGTAGTAAAAAAAATCTTTTAATTTTGTATTGTACGCGAATTAAAAGATAAAAAAAAAAATATAATTTTTTTTTTTAATTTTTATATTTTTTTTAAATTTAAGAAAAAATAAATATATTAAAAACAAATTAATAAAAAAAAAGGACGAAATTTGTTTAAAATACTAAAGGTTACTTACTAAAAATTTAAATTTTTTTTTTAAATTTAAGAAAAAAAAAATATAAAATTTTCAAAAACTTGATGTGTTAAATTCACTCTAGTCTTAAATTTATAGGGTTGAAATTACCGATGCTAGAATTTACTACACGACTTAGGCAAGTGTACCTAATTGAGTTGTAATATAGCAATGGTAAGAACGGATGTCGAACACTTGGGGAAACGAGTATGATTTACGTTTAGATTATTTGTCGCTAATTAACTTAAAAGATAAGTAACTTGGGGGAATTTTTAGTAACAAGACAAATAATGAGAATTTTAACGATTAAAGTGTAAAAATAAATATAGAACAAGAATTGGTTTTTAAGAATCAAGAATGATAAGGATGCTTTCACTTAGATTTAATTCCACCTTTTAGTAATGAATGATTTATATTAAGTGCAATGGATATTATTAGTTATTTACCGATTTCTAAAATTGGTTAAAAATCATGATCTAATTTTTTACCGTTTTGATAATAAAAATAATTAAAAACAATTGTCATGCAATTAACAATTTTATTAACAATAATTAATTCGTATCATGCAAACATTTGATCAAACTATTAATTTTAGTGGTAGTAAAATTAATAGGAATCATAAGTTGGTCATACGATACAAAATATACATGTTAAATTTTTAGTATTTTATTTTGCCTAATCCTAGGATTTTGTCCATCACTAGTCATAAATATCAATGGTCATGAAAAATTTATGATTCAAGATAATATATTTAAATTGATCCTTTAAAAATATTAACTTAGTTATAGGAAAATTAATTACAAAAATTCAACGTATAAAAATAAATGATCAAATATGCATGATAAAATAAATAACAATTAATATCCGAATAATATAAATCAAATCATATTTTCAAGGTTTCATTATCCAAGTGAAAGCAAAGGGAATTTAGCCCATAATTAAAGTTACAACATACATTGAAAACATATTGAGAATGTTAAACATTTCGATAAAACAAACCCGATGTAGTCCCTAATGCCACTGCAATCTTCAATTCCTTAGATCTTTGACTCTTAAATCCCCAATTGTAGAAATGTGGTTCAAAGGTTGGAAGAAATTTGTGTATCAAAGTGCATAATTCCAATGTCTTCTCCTTTTCTTTCTCCCCCTCCATTTTTTTTGGTGAAAAATGGTGATATTTATAGTAAAAATTGGGAGAATTAAATACCAAAAAGAAATAAATTGAGATTGGATCTAATGAAAAATAATTGAAAAGAATTAAAAAGATGGGAATAAAAGGTTGGAAAGTTTAAAGGTGGTGAATTATTGAGTATTGGTTGGAAAGGAATGGGTTTAAAATAGGAAAAAGTGGAGAAAAAATGGTTAAAAATGGAATGGAATCGGAATTGGCAAATCTGGAGCATAAAACGACGTCGTTTAGCTATTGAACAGTACCGGATCGAATTCTGGGTCGGAAACCGGGTCGGAACGGGTCGACACGCGGACTTTATGTGAGAGGAAACGAATCGGAGTCGGGTCGGAGCCTGGATCGAAGTCTGTTCATGGATCGCGTGAATGACGTCACGAATGACGTCATGAGCGATAAAAAGCGCGGATCCTAACCCGGATCGGAGCCGGGTACCGGATCAGAATAATCGGATATGGCTGTGAGTGTATGCGGACGTGGGTAGGATCTTTCGGACTTCGGGTCTCGCCTTTTCCGGATCTGGGTCAGGGTCGCGAATCGAGACTTGGGCTCCGGGTTTGGGCTCCAGGTTTTGGGCTCCGAATTTGGGCTCATTCCGAGTTTTGTTTCTTTTAATTTTTTTTTTCTTTTTTTTTTCTTTTGCAAATTAAATTAAATTAAATTAAATTAATTAATATAAATTATTTAGAAATTAAATAATTAATTCCCAATAATTTATTTTAATTAAACCTCATTAATTAATTTAAATTCTTTTTTTTAGATTTTTATTTTGTTTTCTCTTCTTTCCAACGCGGCTATTTTTGAATTCTTTGACTTTTTGATCTCGTTTTTCTTCGTGTAATTTCTTTCACTTCTTTTTGCGGATTTTTGCACATTTTCTTCTCCTTTTTCTTCAGAAATGATTTTTAGCTGTAAAATGGAATTTCAAACTTTATAAGCACCTTTTATCTTAAATCATACCAAAATATAGCTAAAAATACATAAATATCGCTCGAAATATATGTATAATTATTGCGATATCACTATCATGGAAGCAATAACATTGAAAAAAAAAATATGTATATATGAAAAGCTAATGTCAAATAGAACTGATACAGGGAGAAAGATCTATACTTATGATTTCCTGTATGAATTGAAATACACAACCACACAACCTTACCAAAGTCTATATATACTCCTAACCCACGAACTCAAATTAAAAACTGCAATTTTGCATCTCGATGTGGTATGCTCACAATTAGGACTATCTCTGACATTAATCAGTCTTAAACTTCAATTTGTTACAATGACGTTTCAAAAGTCAATTATTTTGATTTGAAAAATACTAAACACAATGAATTAAGATTGTCATGATTAACCACATATTACGATGTTAATTAGTGTAAGATATGCCAATATGAAAACCGTTTCAAATTTCATTACACAAAGAAACCTGCTCACACATGCACTTAACCAAGAATCATAATCTGTATCAGTTCAGTTCTTAACGATGTCCTTCACATGTGTAAGATTTGTAACTATAATTATAAACTGATTCCCATATCATCATCGGCCATCAAATACACCACTAAAAACCTGGCTACTTCCTCCCAATGATGCTTCCCATTCAACTGAGGACATAACTATTCGAGCTAATGATTCCACTACCTCTCGTACCTCTGGTCTGTTCATCGGATCTTCACTTAGACACCAATACGAAACTTCAGCCATCTGCATCATTTCCAAAAACTTAGCATTCTTTCTTCTTTCATTGCACTTCATTTTCCAGTCATCCGATATTATATGACTGGAGCATAAGTAAAATGGTACTGACCTTATATAAATCATCCATGGGGTAACTGTCCCTAAGGCTACCATCTCTAATGGATACCAGTGCACCTTCTGGATCTTCTTCTTCTTCAAATACTTTAGTTATCTGGCAAATGTCATCACATACATTGATAAAACTTTAGTTACATGAATCACTCCTATACCATTGGTTAATAATATATTGAGTACTTTCTATATAAAAACTTACAACTGTTATGAGTGATTTCATCTTATTGGGCTCTCGGTTGTCACGCATAAGTGCACGCTTTCCCGTTATAAGCTCTGCTAAAACCACTCCAAATGCAAAAACATCGGTTTTTGTTGTTACATGCAATTCTTTCACAGACCTGTTGCAATACTTTGGGGATTATATCTACTTAATGGTTAAACACTTAATCTGAACAGCTACACATGTTGTTTCTTTTTTACTTAATCCAAACAGAATGACTTAATGAGCTTAGTAAAAAAAAAACCCTAACTTGATGTTTAAGAGTCCAATCTTTTACCTATTTGTCCTTCTTTTCTTTTTCCTCCCAACTCGTCCCACGTCAAAATTGATGCATACCGAGAAAATTGTTTGTCGATGAGTATGGGTAAAATTAAATAGGTTATTTAGTCTCATTCAAACGGTTTATTCAATATAGAAAAGAGACAAACAACCCTTTATCCAAACAGACATCATTACTCATTCAGCCATTTGACACATACATGACTTAATTGGAACGAAAAAGAACAACTACTTACTCTGGAGGAAGATATCCCGGGGTTCCAACAAGGCGAGTGGCTATAAAGTCATCATCATTTGTTCGTCCAACAAGTTTTGCCAAACCAAAATCTGCAACCTTTTGGACATTATTTCAAGAAAAAATAAGATAAGTAATGTTGTTTTGACATAAAACTATTTTGTTTTTATAGATTTTAGTAGTTAACCTTTGCTCGTAATCCGTTATCAAGTAGGATGTTAGTTGTCTTTATATCACGGTGTACATATCTTTCCTTTGTATGATCATGAATATACTCAATACCCTTTGCAGCATCCAATGCAATCTGTGCTCTTGCAGTCCAAGACAATGGCTGGTGATCTAATTATTAATCCACTTTTTGTTATTTTGACCTTCACTAAAGAATCTTGAAAATTAAACTTGATATTCAAGAAAGTTCGTACCTTTGAGTAAAGGGTCATGAAGATGCTCGCTTAACGACCCATTTGAAACAAACTCATATACCAAGTACAAATGGTCATCTCCACTAGCAAATCCCAATAGCTCCACCTGTAATTATTCCAAATTAATCAACAAGAAAATTTTAATCCTTTAAATATAAAGTTACAAAAAAGATTAATATGACTTACTCACCACATTGATATGATGAATCTTACACAACACTTTAAGTTCTGCAAGAAACTCTTTCGACTTATTCGATCTCATTTTCTTAACCGCTACTTCCTAAGACCATGAAACTAATTAATCATTAACTTGAACATTAAATTATCTAAAAATAAAACTTTTTGTAATTGTACCTTTCCTCCTAATATACCGAAATATACACTCCCATATCCACCCTCCCCAATCTTCCTAGAATCATCAAAATTATTTGTAGCCTCAGCAATCTCATCAAGATCATAAACCAACGGTCTTTCTGTATCAAAACCCGTGATACCTTCCATATTTTCTTTACTCAAATACCGAATTTGCCCTGAAGTCATTGATTTATGAAAACTCATGGTTTTTGAAACAGCCTTCGGGTTTTCCTTATCATTTTCTTGATTCTTTCTCCTCTTCATAAACATTAAAATCGACAAACACAATAAAATCCCAATAACTGTCAACAGTACACCAAATACAATCGCCCACTTGAAATCCTTCCCTGATGTTACAATAAGTTAATATAATTATATATTATAGTTAAACAAACATAATATGGTAATAATAACTTACTTTTCTTCGATGATGATGATGATGGTGGTGGTGATGGTGGTGATGGTGGCGGTGGTGGTGGTGGTGGAACTCCATTCTTGTACATCGGAACAAACAACACCCAACCGACTTTTATAAACCCTGGTTTCTGAAGCAAAACTTTATTCACATTTTCAATCTCATCCACTTCAGCAGATAACAAGTTAGCAATATCAGAAAGTGTATCCTTTTCCTCAACCGTATACGTGACCATAATTTGAGAATCGGTTTCTGTACACCCACACAATATATGCATAGTGGCATTTGTGTTAGCTTTAAATTTTGTCCCTTGATCCCAAGCTTGCCCACTGTAAAATTCATCAGAAACATCTGATAATATCTCGCCTAGTTTCACCGAATAAACCGTATCATAAAAGTATGCAACCGTATTGTTTATGTTTTTGCAAGAACATGGAACTGTTACAAGGTGGTGTTGTTGGTCTCCATGGGTGATGTTTTGAATTTGTGAAATGTCCACTGAATATAACGAAGAGATGTTGCTTTCTGTGAGTTGATTGTGTTGATAAAGTATGGATTTGCATGGTGTTGATTGTGGAATGCATGTGAATGGGATTTCGTTTGGGGGATTTTGAGAATGTGTGAGGATCATCAACATGTGGGTGCATAAGATAACGAGAAGAAAAATGGAATTTTGAGAAGCCATAGATTGTGGCCACTCTGCAAGGATGAGAATTTGAAGGTTATTTGATCTTTTTGTGTCACTATGTGTTTGTTGGTTAATGAAAGTAGAGATCTTTTGTGTTTTTATTCTTTTGATTTTTGTATTATACAAAGTTGGTTTGTTTCTAACAAAATATTGGTTAAATCCACTTTCGATGTTTACAATTTAAGGGTGTGTGGATTTTGAGATGATTGGGGGCGGATTGTATGATATTTTGGGAATTTTTGTCGCGGTTGTCTGTTTATGGTGTGACATTTAGAGGCAAGTAGCTGCGCTTTGCTTTAATCTTCATAGGTGGAGATTCCAACGAGAAATTTTAGTTGTTTTTTGTTCAATCTTAGTTAAGATTGGTAAGAAAATATGGATTCTTATATTCTAATATATATGGAAACAGATGAGACAATTTCTAGTGGATGCTACAAAATATTATAGATAGATCTAGTTGAAGTGTACAATAACTATCATATGCTCAAATTTAAAGTGAGGACCTATAGGTTATCTTGAACACGGTTTTAAATAACAAAGAGATGCAGTTTTAAAAGATTTTTGATGCATTTGGTTAATTAAAGTGGGTAGGATAGATGATAAAATAAATAAGGAATAAGGTCAATTAAAATGGAGGTTTGGACAAGGGGAATATGCTAAAGTTTGGCCGGCGAGGTTACTATCAGTTATGGTTTACTTAACAATGCTTACAAACTTTGTATACCAAAATTCATTTTACTACATTCATTTAAAAGTACACGACTCGTTTTTTTATGGGACTTTTACGGTGTGTCTAGACGATATTATATTACTTTATATTATGAAATTTTAATGTTTGACTTCCAGAAATTGTTGTTTTTGGTTTTTGTAATAATGATTTTCGATGGAACAAAACTCTTACATAAAATTAAACGTTATTTGATAGTACACAAGAATTAAAGAAGAGACTTCAAGGTCTAAGAGCATCTATTGGAAGTTTGATGATATTAATTAATATTTTTTAACCTTTTGAACGCTTATTTTTAACTTTTTGAATACTTAGCACGCGTTTGGTTGGCAGAAAAAGAATAAAATTCAAAGAAAATGATTCCAATTCCCTCGAATTCATGCGTTTGGTTGGACTAAGAAGTGGAGAAAGAAATTTCTAAATGAAATAAACTTTCCATTGTAGGGAGGAAAGTGGAATTCATTCCAACATTTGATGGAAAACTTTCATTTTCATCAAGGAAAGTAACAGATTACAAAAATACATTTTTTACTTATCATCCTCATACGGAGGAAAGTGGATTCATTCCAACATTTGATGGAAAATTTTCATTTTCATCAAGGAAAGTAACAAATTACAAAAATACATTTTTTACTTATCACCCTCCACCAACAGTCATCGTCGTCGCCGCCACCACCACCACTACCATCACTCGTTACCAACAACCATTGTCGCCATAATTACCATCACCCACTACCACCGCCGCCGCCACCACTACCATCACCCACCACCCACCACCATTACCATCACTGTCGCCGCCACCACCTCCACCTCCACCGCCACCACTATCACTTCCACCGACACCACCACCACTACCACTACCACCGTCGCCACCACCTCCAATACTGCAGCAACCACTATTGCCACCATCTCCACCACTACTACCGTCGTCGTCACCACCACCACCACCATTACCATCACCCAACGCCACTACCACCGTCGCTACCACTACCACTGTCGAAATTTTACTATTTTTATAATTTATATAATGTATCTTTACAAATAAGTTAGAAAACAATGTAAAATTATGCAAAACGGACAAAAAGGGTAATTCTTTCATTTTACATGATTTTAATTCTATTTCTTGCGGATCAAACAGAATATGGAATTAATTCTAATTCCATTTCATGCCAACCAAACAGGATATGGAATTGGATTCAAATTCCTGATAGATTTTTTTTCCAATTCCAATTTCAATTTCTTCAAAAACATTTTGTCAACAAAACAACACCTTATTTCACAATGGGTCAATTGTGAAACTACTTTACTCACAAAAGGATGCCAAAAAATGTTAGTGCACATTTGCTAAATGTTGTAGGTGACTCAATTCTAGGGGAGCTTTATACCTGAGATTTCTTGAGATGATAAGGGGCTGTTTTTTAATATTGAAATAATTAGACATTTTTTAGGGTTAATTGTGAGAAAATAGCAATGTATTTTACCAAAGTTCCTGATTATGGCATCATACATTAAAGTTCATTTATAGTAGCAATCTACTTTCATTTTATTTGTGATTATGACAAAGTACATTGCTATTACTATTAAAAATAGGCTACTATTCTTTTTCAAAAAAATAGGCTACTATTATGAGTAAAAACTTAGTATAATTGTGAAAAATCGAAAACGGTTTCCTATTATAATTAGAGTTTAAAGTATGTAACTATAATGAATAATTTAAGAAAAGCACGATTATTATTTCCATGATTAATTCTTTTTTATTCAAACTTCAAATGGAAGAATATTGTACTTAAAATCACATATTCTTATGCATTATCATAATTACTACTCATTAATATCATTCATTTTTACCTTTTTAGTTCTCTTTATTGTCAATATTGGAGGACATTTATGGTATTTGACAATATATAAATATATCTCGAGCTAATAACTAGCTAACTCTCAGTGTAGAATCCACGAGTTAATCAAGAAGGATATGCTCTTGAACTCTTGAGAATTATCTACTTTGTCGCCTTCTTAATAAGTAGATTGCTACTATTTTTCAGTATCATGCATTAAATGTCGAATATAGATTGAAATTTATGGATTTAATGTATGTCGAATATTAAAACTTTTTTACTTTTATATTTGTTAATTTAAAATATAGATTTTATGTATGTTTTAAGATTTTGTGTTGAATATATAATTATTTTAATTTTTTCATGAATTTATAAATTTTTTTTTATAATGCCAAAATCCGTCGCTAATCTGTCACAGAAAATCTGTCGGTAATCCGTTAGTGAGTTATTCCGAGACTCCGTCGGTAATCCGTTAATGAGTTATTTTGTGTGTAATCCGTTGCAAAAAATATTTCCGTCTGTTACTAGTTACCAACGGAAAAATCCGTCCCTAAAAATGTCGTAGCCATCGAAAATCCGTCACAAACAATTACCGACAAGAATATACCGAAGCATATGGGTCTGTTGCAATTCCGTCGGTCAAGCCTATTTGCGGCGGATTACCGACGGTTTTGGCCGTATTTAATGCTCTTTTTGTAGTAGTTACCCAATAAAATGTTTTTCTTATCATTTGAGATTATAGTTTTTTGTTTAATTTTATCAACCATTTAGATATTATTATTATTTTTTGGTTTTGAGGTTTGTACAAACTCATCCATTCAATAATATGCTATTCCACTTTTCTAATTATATTTAAATAATTATTATTTTTGACTAATGATTCAATGTTATGTCTTATTTACAATTTCTTACCGAAACAATGGAATCATTTTCTCTTAGATGTGAGATGATAGTTAGAACGTGAGAGTTTGTGTTTAAAATGAGTGGATATTAGACCTTCACTCCATGATTTGGTGAATGGTCTTTTCGGTGTGACCGGTGTTCTCCCTTCTAGTGGTAAGAAAAAGATGGTTATTGATACAATTGTGTGTACCACGATATGCTATTTATGATGTTTCAAAAATGATAAGTGATAAGTTTTTTTTGCATGGGATGAGCAACGATGTTATCTTTTATTCGATTAAGGAATTTTTTTTTCTTTAGTTTTGTAATAGAAATAGTAAATGTTCCTTAAATTTGGTTAGTTGGTTTCAACATCCCCTAAATAATGTGTAATTGTTTTTTTCTCTAGTTCTTGCTAGAGCTATGTTTTTTATGATATGGTTGTTTAAAAAATGATTCTGAATGTATATGAGATATTAGGAAACAATCAATTTTTTTTAGATATTATGACAAAATGATTATAACGAGCAAGGTCCGTTTATTCTAAAAAGAATATCAATGGTCCTACCATATCTCCCCCAAACATTTAAAAATACCATATTTTTGTGATGAATGGTCCGTTTATGAAAAAATGATTATAACGTTGCGACGATGACTCTGATGATAAGGTAGTAATAGAAAATGAAGAAGTCGATGTTGACCGCCTCTGCCATATGTTGCTTATCGTCAGTGGCGGATCCAGAACCAAATCTAACTGGGGTCCAAAAAATACAAAAATTATAAAATTCTGAAAATTTAATGTTTTTTTGGGTTTTTGAAGTAAAAAAAAAAATCTTCAAAGAGGGTATTTAATGTAAAAGTGGGTGCCAAAAGGGGATTTTTTGTAAAAATTAAATTTTTGGAGGGCTATTTAGTAGTAAAAGTTGTGGGGCCCACCTCCAAGTGGGGTCCATGCACCCCACTTAAAGGGCCTAGATCCGCTACTGCTTATCGTGACACACATATAAAGTTGTGACTGGTGTATGTCATTGCATTTTAGGCATATGTATGGGCTTTAAGGTCTTTAGTGATGAGAGCAGCCGATAAAAAAGAGAATATTTACTAATTAGAATAATTACACAACTAAGCTATTCATTATTGAGGAAGAGGGGACGGAAAATACCTTAAAGCGTCGAAACCAAAGATGTGTAGCCGAAATTACTTGAAACATGTAGAAGCAGGAGAAATGTATGCAAATAAAGAAGATGTAGGCTGGTATATGATTTAGGGCATCAAAATTTTATCCAAACAATAAATCACATGCACAAGTATACGCTAAACGGTGACGGTTAAGTTATTACGTGAACATAGTCAAATAAAATAAAATAAAATCTAAAAAAATAGAATTTAGGGCATTAGAACCATATCCCGACAACAAGTAGCCTCCACAGGGTTTGTTTTCACGCTCCAGAAGACATTTTTTCTAAGCATTCCTGCTAGGCATGTCGAGGCGAGGTGTGACTTCCAAATTCATCGAAAACCAGTTTGAGGCAACTTGTTACCTCCACAAATGGGTTGTGCATCCGATATTTGTCCCCGATCGCCTCCTCAACCTCCTTTCCTTGTAGAGACATAAACATAGTTCACTAAATTGATGTTAACACATTTTGCAAGTTATACGGTAACTATTTAAAACTAGGTGTATCCTTGTGTGTTACACGAGAATAAAATAATATAATAAAACTATTGATAGATGTATGTTGTGGAAAATAACTACGTCGTTGCAATATGAAATTTTCGGTACTTAAAGAGCTTGTAACCTAACAGTATCAGGTGTTAGTAGAAAGGTGCCCCTCAACCATATGTTAAGGGTTCATGCCCCCCATTTGGAAGGAAATATATAGTTTATGAGTAAAGTAGTGTGTGTGACTGTGTGTCATTCTAAAAAATGGCTTAGGAATTTTTTGTATGATTTTTAGTTTAAATGGTTCATTATGACACCCAACAAACACTAATAAGCAATTTTTTTGGTCGTGTATATGATATCTTCATGTGCATTTGAAATAATTAAACTTTTTCTTTGTGTTACTCAAGAACTATCCACATTAATTGTCCATACCTTTTGTAACGTCACCAAAATATAGAGAAAATTTTTCATTTTTAAAAATAAAACCATTCAATAACATTCCTATAAAAGATAATCAGAGTATAAGTTTGAAATCAAATATCAGAGTAAAATCATAAAAACAAATAGTGCGGAATCTCCGGTGGATGCGATGCAAATCAGGTCGGGCTCTTCTCTTTGCTACCGGAAGTAAATAACATACGTGATTCTAGATTAATATTTGTACGTAATGAATTAAATTAACTTTTCTTTGATGGTAACGGTGATAGTGATGGTGATGGTGGAACTCCGTTCTTGTACATCGGAACATACAAAACCCAACCAACTTTTATAAACCGTGGATTCCGAAGCAAAACTTTATTCACATTTTCAATCTCACTCACTTCAGCCGATAACAAATTAGCAATATCAGGAAGTGTATCCATCTCCAGTACAGTATACGTGACCATAATTTGAGAGTCGCTTTCTGTGCATCCACACAATAAGTGGATAGTGGCATTCGTGTTAACTTTAAAATCTTGTCCCTTCATCCCAAGTTTGCCCACTATAAAATTCATCGGAAACATCTGATAATATATCGCCTAATTTCACTGAATAAACCGTATCATAAAAGTATGCAACCGTGTTATTCACGTTTTTGCAAGAACATGGGACTGTTACAAGGTGGTGTTGTTGATTTCCATGGGTGATGTTTTGAATTTGTGATATGTCCACTGAATATAACTCAGAAATATTGTTTTTGGTGAGTGGATTGTGTTGATAGAGTATAGATTTGCATTGTGTTGATTGTTGAACGCAAGCGAATGGGATTTCATTTGGTGGATTTTGAGAAAGTGCGAGGATCATCAACATGTGGGTGAAGAAGATAATGAGAAGAAAAATGGAATTTTGAGAAGCCATAGATTGTGGTTCGTCTGCAAGAACGAATATTTGAAGTTTATTCGCTCCCTATCTTTTGTGCTTTTATTCTTTCCATTTTTGTATTATGCAATCGTTTGTTTCTGCACTAAATTTTGGTTAAATCCGCTTTGTTGATGTTTACAATTTAAGGCTGTGGATTACACTTGCGGATTTTGGCATGATCATTGTTTGTCCCTTTCTTTCTTTTGTTTATGGTGCGAGGATTTCCAGACAATTATTCGTGCTTTGCTTTTATCATTGTAGGTGGAGGTTTCGACATATATATGGTGCTCCAAGCATGGAATGTATAGGTACTATGCAGTATGTTTTTTTAAATGTTCACGAGCAATAAATATTCTCCCAAAAGAGTAAAGACACTACATATAGGTATCTCTTCTTTTGTCATCATTTGAGATCAAAACGTGTAGCTTCTTTTAAACAAGTCTTAACATATTGACTAATTTGTTGATTGTTTTAAGTCATGAAAACGATTTCAAATCACAAAGAAAGAAGCGCATTTAAGGACTTGCCTAGCTTCCCAAATAATAATATCACCAAGCCAAGAGTTTTGATGCATGCATTATTAGTTGATGCCAACATACTGAGAAATTAGCAGAAACGTTTGTTTGTTTGTAAATAAACGGGAGAATGACAAAATGAGCGGAACGATGTCCTGTCCAACTTCAAAAGGGTATAACCTTTTGTCCGTATAGGATCTCAACAATATACGGATAAAAAACTCTTTAACAGGTCAAAATCCTCACAAATTTTCCCCACCGGACCCAATTTTGTTGTTTTCACACTTAATTTCGAATTCACTCCAATTTCGGTTCATTTTCCGATTTATATTATAATTACATATTTTTCAATTTCCACGCGATTAGATGGCTTCTTAATTTCATTAAATTAGTGTCAATTTTAATTTATTTATTTATTTTGGATATTTGACAACACGTCAAAAATTATAGCCACCATATAAAACCAAACGTGACATTCATTAGATTTGTTACCCTAGTTCTCTAGAATATGTTGGTTACAATACTCTTTGAGTAGGAAAACTCATGCAAGGATAGATAACAAGTCAACATATCATCAACTCTAAAAATACTGAAAGAGGATTAAATATCGACTTATTTTGTATATTGATGATTAAAGAGTATTATTTTGTAATATCAAAACCTATTTAAAAACTAAATTTAATAAAGCAAAGTAAATTAAATAATTTTTTACCATTAAATTATATTTTTAGTAATATTTATTAATTGTCTTTCTAGTTATAAAAATTGATAAGCAAGTCGGTTGGCCTAGTCGGGCTAAAAAAGTTGAGTGGGTACTGAACGATAATGGCCCATACCATTGAAAGCCTAACTTCAAAAGGGTATAACAAACTTGTAGCTATTTTTTATTTTTTATTTTTTGTAACATATCTTCCATATTCTTGTAATCACTCACTTTCTCAAATAATCATAAATTTGATGTCAGCATTAATGATTGACAAAATTTATTTCATAGGAATACCAACAACTTTTTATTTAGTTCACGCGATTTCCATTATTTTGCTATTACTAAGCAATACATAATTAAATTTAAAATACCGTAAACACTAAAATAAGTTTAAGTTAATAGAATCATACGTAAAAATCAACACAAAATGTTAAATGAATAATCAAACATTTTTACTTAATTACGTATTAGTTAAACTCTACATTTATTTTTAAAAGGGAGGAATAATACATTTCACGAGGTGAAAAAACACCTTAGATATAAAATGCCTTTAGACAAGCAAGCATGGTTTTTACTTTTCTTTTCCTTTTACTAATTTTGGTTAATTGTTTAATGATATAAAATGCCTCATTCTAATACAAAAAAAGTAAACACTTGAGATATTATAACATCAATATGCCTAGAAAAAGTATTTGTTTATCTAATATAGATATTAGTATTAGTACCTGTTTGTAGCTGCAGTTATTACTTTTTACATCGGAAATATGTCTTCAAATTCAGTTACCACCTTCTGTACCTTGCTCAGCATCACTGTTCTCACAAAATAAAACCAACATCTAATTAATATTTACAATCTCAGTCCTTGTGGTACATTCTTTTCTCGGGTTTGGTCCAAAAATTTAAAAAGTAATATTTAATATGCAACAAAATAAAACCACGGGTAATTTATACCTTGGAAGGAAGAGTCTTCCAAATATTTCTGTGGAAGAAAATCAAGCTTGTTACAAATAATGTAAAAACCAGAAATATTGGAAAAGATTGAGGGCATAAAAGAAAGGGAAATACCATGATTTCATTTTTCAGAATGACATCTTCAGAAAGAATTTCTTGTGTTGTTGCCATGGTCAATAATGATGTGAAACTAGGAGGAAAGGCTGAAAGCTTTTCTTGAACATCTTGACTAAGTGTGGCTTCCATGGGATTTGAGTTTTGACTAAATATTGTGTCACCATTTGACCCTATTGGACTCCAGTCAAGTGTTGGTCTGCATAAACAAGTTAAAATCTCAGATCATCTGCTTACATTTTTTGCTATAATCTCAAAGAAATGTTATTGAAGACTTGTACAAGAGTTGCTCCATATTTCTTGATCTTACCTATAGGCTGGAGAAGAGCTTATTGGGCTCCACTCCTGTGTTGACCTGAAAAAAGAGTGGGGGTTGACTTTTCAAACCTTCCAACTTGGAAAAATAGTAAAATTCAAAGAAAAGTTACTTTTTAGATAGCGAATTTGGACAACAGAGGCCAAGTACAATCTTCCTTTTGGCATCTCTAGCATTTTCACAAGAAGAGTGGTTAGTTTACAGTTTACTACAGAAATCCATATAGATTATATTGTTCAAAAATTTAGTCAATAACTTGTTAGAGAATGTATTTAGTTTCCACCCATCTACAGGTTGAAGAGAAGGCACGATCTCAGATTGAGATGGGGTTTTGGATTCAGGGATATCAGGAGTTGACCGGTCAATCTTCTCATGTCCAAAGATATCCTGTAAAAGAGAAGTTTATGTAATTACATGTGTGATGTGTTTGCATACCAAGAGGACAGGGGCAAAGGTTGAACCTTTATGAAATTCATAAATCTTTCAGTCTCATCACTTGTGAGAAATCGCAAGGCAAACTTTTGGATCTGCAAACAAGGAAAAGGGTATTTGGTGAAATATGATATGATGTTGTAGAAGAACAAAGGGCATAAGTAGGAAAACAGGAACTAAACAGGTGAATTTTAGGTTCTTACATCGCCTACATGATCTTTATAACTCATGAATACAATTTTGCTGCCCCTAGGAGGGTATCCAGGCAAACATGAGACATGAGGCCAGGTGAAATGTAGCTTTGAAATGTAATGCTCTTCCTGAAATGTTTCAGTATCCAAACTTGTGTTAGATGCATACTAACTTATGACGTATATATATGCATACAAAACAGATTAGAGTCATAATGGCTACCAACATAAGCACAAGAACAATCAACAATTACATTTACATTGTGATATATTAGTAATCAGGTAACTTAAGAAGCAAATTATTCCAATGTGAAGCACTAGACTATTGTTGATCCCTAATTTCTAGAATTAAGAGGACCAGTTGCTTAAATTATAGCCACTATATTTTAGAAAGCATAAAAAACCAAAGCACAAAGAGGAAAACCATAGATATTGTCTGAAGTCATCTGCAATATCTAAAAGCAAACAGTACAAATAACTGTCTAACGAAAGCAGAGAGATGAATCTGTAAGAACAAGGTTTAGTTGAAATTAATGAATCTAGTAGGCATGAATAAGATGAATAAGACTAGAATTATATATTATACAAGGAAACTGTATGATTGCTTGCACAACCAACATTTTCCACGAAAAAGTTATAGATCTTGACTTGGTAGTAAATCACATTCGTGCATTCTGTGTTTGATTAAATTGGGAGTGGAAGATTTTTACATATTGCAAACTCTGTATATGAACGAACCAGATGAATCTAATAGTCAGCCTAGATGAAAGTTTTCTGATCGTGTCTGATTTAGAAAACATCATATAACCAGAGTATTTCAAACAGTTCAGTCGTTTATGATTATAATTAAATCAACTATCAACCAAAGTAGAGATAATTTCAGGAATTATAGCTCAATGGTATTGCGGATTTGTGATCCAATGCAAAACGGTTGCAGAAAAATCACAATCGAGTCTGAATTGATCTAAAATGGCACAAATAAGGCGTACAAACTGTTATCGAACTAAAAAAATAAGAGATCTATGAAACAGTGATAACTCACAATGACGTTGTCGACGAGAGTAACTGTTAGTATGATGGAGCGAGAAATATCAGAATTATCGTTTGTGGAGGTTAGTAACTTGAGATTGGCGAGAGAAGTGAAGGATGAAATCCATGATCCCTTGGACCTTTTGACTTGGGGAACGAGAGACGGATGATAACCACCGGCGCCGGCGGCAGATGAGAGAGAAGGACGCTTGAAGAAGCGAGCATATTGAACTTCCCAGTGGTTTCCGATAGGGGCGTTGGTTGTCGTCACTGACATGCTTCCTTGATGCTCGTTTTCGCTTCCGTTGGATGGATGAGGCCCCGCCATGTTTCGTTACTTCCTACTGCTCACGCGGATCGAATTTTTGAATTTGTTAACACTAGTTATACCTTCCTTCGTTTTTATATACATTTTCTTACAGCATTTCATACCAGTAAAACTTTTTACTAAGCCTTTTTTGTGCCACATATGCATAATAGAATAAACGAACTAAAAACTCGAAATATATTTCGCTATACTAAGTTTTTTACAAAGCTTATTTAGAGTCAATGAAAAAAAAAACTATATAATTGAATAAAATATTGATTAAATTATGAAAAACTTTATGCATAGAGCCGGTAAATTTACAATAAAAATGAAAAATTATTTACAATAAAAACGAAAAGTTATGTTGTGAAAAGCAATAAGAAACTTAATTCATCAAATAAACTCTTATTGTCAACTAGTAAAAAAAATCCGCACTATGCCGCTGGTTTGAATGGTTCGTGATTCATAATCGCAGATAATTTGTAATGAAATTGGTAGAATATGTTTTCTTAACGTTGGTATCTTTCTAAAATACATCGATGCTAAAACTATTACATTCATAACATTAGCATATTCACTAAATACGTCGATGTGTACATAGAAAATTTTATGTCTTTATGGATAGTTTTTAATAACTTGTAGCATGTCTTCATAGGTTGTGATAAGTTTTTCAGCGAGTATGATGGATATATGTATGCACTTGAGATTGGCAAGCTTTGCATTTCTACGAACTTCTTGGAGGGAGTAAACACTATAGAATTTATTGACTTTATGGTGAATTTTATCGTATATCCGAGTATGGTCATACTCTACACCGTCGTTGAGAAGAGTGTGACATACATATTCATTTTTTAGTCTGTTTACAACCTCTAGGCAAAAAAATTATATATAAATGAATTATATATACAAATTGTGTTTTCCTATTATAGGTAAAAATGAAGTAAATTGCTATAATGGGTAAATAATTGATAGTAAATTGCTATTATTGGTGAAAAAATAAAGTAGATTGCTTATATTGGTTAAAAGAGTAAAGTACGTTGTTATTTCCTTCAATTTACCTGATTCTAAATCATAACGAAAGCGCATATAAAAGAAAAAACTTACCACATTTGTCTGAAGGGTCAACTGGACAAGCTTGTGATGGGTTAGGATAGGTAACTTCACGTAAAAACCTAAATTCAAAGCAATTTTATAAAACTAAATTTTAATAAATTCTACAATTATAATTAAACCTATAATTTATATTTAGATATAATATAATTTATAAAATTCCTATGAGAATCCATTTCATTCCTATAGACCACCCAAACACGATTATGCAATGTAATCGCCCATTCTGTTTTTAATTCGTCATAAAAAATTATGACTATGAAAAGTAATTTTTTATTATATTACCTTAGCAGGAAAGCTAATAGTAGTGCACATGAGTGTATCATTATCACATCCGAAACCGGTGAAATCATTATTTCGATCCAACTGCAGTGTTGCGTAAATCCAAAACATATATGAGTATATTAACATACATAGATTTATTTATAATGTAACATCCAGATTTTCATGTATGAATCTTAAAGTAAATTATGAGTTTTTCGATGGCCACGACATGGTGGAGGAATCACCACGACGTGGCAAGGCTACATGAAACACGCATCTCTTTTAGCCGCCATGACGTGGCAATGTATGTGCCACGACGTGGGGAATGATTATGGGAAAACCTTAAATTTCCGGTATTAAGGCCATATTTAAAGGAAGTAATGGATAGGGTTTCATCTACCCTCAGCCTCCATCACCTTCAAAAGGCTGGAAGCAAACCCTAAACCCCTTTCCTCTATTCTTGAGCTTATTTTGGTGTTTTGGTATATTTAGAAGGAAGGAAGAAGAAGACCATAGTGCAATAATAAAAAAAGCAACTCCTCCCCACCTTTAAGTTCACCTCCTGGACCTTTGTAAGTCCTCTTTTTCGGATCTTGTTGGATAGCTCTCTTTAGATCTAAGTTTTATGGGCTTTTCTTCATGTTCTTGGTGTTTTTAGTGGTTGGATTCAATAAAGTTTGCAACCTTATTGATCCTTGTAGTCCCAAGAGGGTTAGATGTTCTAGGTCTGAATAGTTATGTAACTTTGAGCTCATGCATGGATCTTGACCCCATTTATGCTATTTTTGACTTAGTTAAGCAAATGATATGCATAGACATGCATGTCATCAAAACAAGGATTTTTACGGACCATTAGGGTCCCAAGAAGCCTCCTGGAAAGTGTAAGCTTAGGGTTTGACAGATTAAGAGCTTAATCCATTAAGTTGTTCTTTGTGCAGTTGCCACAACATGGCAATTTCACTAGTCGCGACTGTTTTGTCGAGAATGTGCCACGGTGTGGCCAAAGGATGGCCACGACATGGAGGTCAACTGACGTTGACTTTGACCGTTGATTTTTGACCGGTTTCGACTTTTAGTCAAATTAATAATTTTAGAAGGTAGACTAAGGGTTTACTTGTATGATTCCGTAGGAGGTGTGTAGCACCTGTGTAACAGTCCAATTTTCACGCCCAAAAATTTCATTTTTATAAATTACTTTAATTAAAACATTCGGAGGAAAAACATTGTCAAATCATAACATCTCATAAAACTAGGTATAATGTCTTAAAATCCAAATCATAAATAGTGATAATGTCAGAGCACAATCCCAAGGAAACTCATAGTGCGGAATCTGGGGTGTGTGTATGATTTGCAGCTACCGCGCCGGCTCCTTCCCCTTCGATGAAGAGGTACCTGAAACAAAATTGAAAACTGTAAGCACAAAGCTTAGTGAGCTCCCCCATCGTACCACATACCATAAAATCACATAACATGCATATTCTGTCAAGCATATCTGGGTGCCCGACCTACCCCTTCGGCCCTGTCGACCGGGTAATGCCTAGCATATCTGGGTGCTGGCCTCCCCTTCGGTCCTGTCGACCGGATACTGCCTAGCATATCTGGGTGCTGGCCTCCCCTTCGGTCATGTCGACCGGATACTGCCTAGCATATCTGGGTGCTGGCCTCCCCTTCGGTCCTGTCGACCGGATACTGGGGACTATTTCACCCCTCTACCACTACCACATAACATGTATCACATAATCGTATTCTATCTAGTATGACTGGGTATGACTACCCCTCTTTGGCCCTATCGACCAGAGATCTTAGGGACTATCTCCCCTACTGCTACTGGCATATAACATCATATCATACTAGCACATAACATATCAGGTAGTAGCAAACCTAGATGAATATCACAAAGACAATCATCTAATATACGACTCCTACTGGTGGGCCGACATTGTGGCCATAGACCCACCGCTACTGGCAGGTAACTCACCTCGTAAAGCTGACTGCGGGAAAACTGCTCGGCAACTGTTTGACTGCTGCTCGGAAACTGTCTGACTGCTGCTCCGTAACCCTCCGGCTATAATCCCACAAAACACTCAGTTAGAACCTGATATCTACTCTTAGGGTAAAATGACTATTTTACCCTAGACCAAGTCCAGGTCAAAGTCAAAGTCAAAGTCAAAGTCAACTTCCAGTTGACCCGACTCGCCGAGTTGGGTCGTCAACTCGTCGATTCCCTATCTCTTCCACTGTCCTCCTCCACGTCCCTACTCGTCGAGCTTAGCAACGACTCGACGAGTTCTCCTTCTAACACAACCTCAGATGAACCTTCATCCGACTCGCCGAGCGGTATGAACACTCGTCGAGTCCATCTTCATCCTAAGAACACGTCCTGTCCCCGACTCGCCGAGTTGTATGAACAACTCGTCGAGTTCATCTTCAAGGGTTGGGAGATTGCCTTGGACTCGCCGAGTCTGTTCTAGCACTCGCCGAGTCCTATGAACTCCGGGTCTAAAACTAAGTCCAATGCGTTGGGTCACTCTTCATGTCCTGCCACAACCCTTCTAACACCCAACTGAGTTCTTTTGACCCTCAACAGATATGGGACTCAAAGCCTTGGACTCGTCGAGTCCCAAGAACGGACTCGCCGAGTCGGTAACGTCCACACCCTAAATCCTCGATTTCTGATGTACAACTCATGACCAAAAGATAGATCTAGGCTCCTATAATCATTCTAGCATGTAAAGTTACAAACTTTACGTGCATGCATGGGACTTTGAGTCCAAAAGGTCCTAAAACAAGCTCTTGGGTTGCATGGAGTCTTTCTTAGGTGTAAAAGCACCACTTTCTGCCTTGTGACCCCTCAAAGGACCTAGATCCGAAGCCTTGTCCCCAACCATGCTTGCATTCATGGTTGGCTACCTAAAATGGCTTATAAAAGCCCTAAATCTCCACAAAATGGGATCTAGCAAATGAACAAGCAAGTTAGCAACTTTATACCTTATGAGGACTGAAAATGAAGCACAAACTCGAACCCCTCTGGTCTCCTCTTGTTTCCTCAAGCCTTTCCCTTCTTCCTTATGGTCACAACTAGCAAGATCCACCAAAAATGCTTTAGTTCTTCTCAAAAACGGCTAGGGTTTTCTTATGGGGAGTTCTGGAAGCATTGGGGACGAAAGGGAGGCTGAATAAGTGGTTTAAATAGGGTGCAAACCCTCATCTAGGGTTTTTATCCGGACAGCGCCTACTCGCCGAGTCCGGACGCGGACTCGTCGAGTAGGTCATTAAACTTCTGTGTCCAATACGCTCCAACTCGACGAGTTGGACCTCAACTCCCCGAGTCCAAGGCCAAAATGCAAGATACTAGAATAAAATACATACCAGGAACCAGGTGCTACAAATCTCCCCCATTTATTTTAGACTTCGTCCTCGAAGTCTACTGCTCCATCCTGGAATAGCTCTGGGTAATGCTCCATCATCTCATCCACTGGCTCCCAGGTCCATTCTGAGCCCTTCCGATGTTGCCATTGCACCTTCACCATCTCGACCTTCTTGTTCCTCAGATCCTTCGACTTCCGGTCGAGGATTGCCACATGCCGCTCAATGTAGTTCAGGCTGTCATCAACCTGAATATCCTCTAGGGGCACCACTGCCGAGTC